GAAAGCTGTCAAAAGAATTCAAGGCCCCCTGAACATAAAGTTGTCCATATTTTGAGTTAGAGCTGATGAAGTTTTCTATAATTTTGATACAATTTCTCCCAAAAGTAGTACACCACACTGTAAAAACATTATTGAATAAAATGCTCCGCAGGGCGCAGCTTGATACGACCGCAGAGGTCGAACCCTGAACAGTTGGGGCAAGTATGGACACAACATTCAAGCTTGATACAGCTCTGAATTTGGATTGTGATTAAATATTTGACACAGCATAGGTTTCTGACACAGAATGAATGTGGTCTAAGAACTTAAAAATTTTAAATTGGACATTCACCTATTATGGTCCAATATCCAAAATCTAAATACATGGTTAGATTCAGCATATCAAAGAACCCCAAGAATTCAATTTTTGATGAAATCAAACAAAGTTTAATTTTGGACCCTTTTGACCTCAATGTGGAAAAAGTTGATAATGGGGCCCAAAAATCAAAAATCTAAATACATGGTTAGATTCAGCATATCAAAGAACCCCATATATTCAATTTTTGTTGAAATCAAACAAAGTTTAATTTTGGACCCCGATTTGGACCAACTTGAAAACTGGGCCCATAATCAAAAATCTAAATACATGTTTAGATTCAGCATATCAAAGAACCCTAAAAATTCAATTTTTGTTAAAATCAAACTAAGTTTAATTTTGGACCCTTTGGACCTTTATGTAGACCAATTTGAAAACGGAACCAAAAATTAAGAATCTAAATACACGGTTAGATTCGGCATATCAAAGAACCCCAATAATTCAATTTTTGATGAAATCAAACAAAAGTTAAATTTTGGACCCTTTGGACTTCAATGTGGACCAATTTTAAAACGGGGCCCAAAATCCAAAAACTTAATACACGGTTAGATTCAGCATATTACAGAACCCCATATATTCAATTTTTGTTGAAATCAAACAAAGTTTAATTTTGGACCCCGATTTGGACCAACTTGAAAACTGGGCCCATAATCAAAAATCTAAATACATGGTTAGATTCAGCATATCAAAGAACCCCATATATTCAATTTTTGTTGAAATCAAACAAAGTTTAATTTTGGACCCCGATTTGGACCAACTTGAAAACTGGGCCCATAATCAAAAATCTAAATACATGGTTAGATTCAGCATATCAAAGAACCCCATATATTCAATTTTTGATGAAATCAAACAAAGTTTAATTTTGGACCCTTTTGATCTCAATGTGGACAAAGTTGATAACGGGGCCCAACAATCAAAAATCTAAATACATGGTTAGATTCAGCATATCAAAGAACCCCATATATTCAATTTTTGTTGAAATCAAACAAAGTTTAATTTTGGACCCCGATTTGGACCAACTTGAAAACTGGGCCCATAATCAAAAATCTAAATACATGGTTAGATTCAGCATATCAAAGAACCCCATATATTCAATTTTTGTTGAAATCAAACAAAGTTTAATTTTGGACCCCGATTTGGACCAACTTGAAAACTGGGCCCATAATCAAAAATCTAAATACATGGTTAGATTCAGCATATCAAAGAACCCCATATATTCAATTTTTGTTGAAATCAAACTAAGTTTAATTTTGGACCCTTTGGACCTTAATGTAGACCAATTTGAAAACAGAACCAAAAATTAAGAATCTAAATACAGGGTTAGATTCGGCATATCAAAGAACCCCAATAATTCAATTTTTGATGAAATCAAACAAAGTTAAATTTTGGACCCTTTGGACCTCAATGTGGACCAATTTAAAAACGGGGCCCAAAATCCAAAAACTTAATACACGGTTAGATTCAGCATATTAAAGAACCCCAAGAATTCAAGAATAAATCCCCATTGAAATTGATCAAGAAATAAGCAATTTATACGAAGTATCTTCTTTTGCACAATACTGTGCAATTGATTATTTCTTGCTATTGCGCAATACTGTACAATTGACAATTTCTTGCTATTGCGCAATATTGTGCTATTGGATATTTCTTGCTATTGCGCAATACTGTGCAATTGAAGATTTCTTGCTATTGCGCAATACTGTACAATTGAAGATTTTCTTGCTATTGCGCAATACTGTGCAATTGAAGATTTCTTGCTATTGTGCAATACTGTGCAATTGAAAATTTCTTGCTACTGCACAATACTTATTATATAATAATTTACACATCCTGTTTGGTGTGTATCTCCTACCATATCATTATTATTTGATTTTAAATATAAATCAGAAATAACCAACTTAAAATGGAAAATTTTAAAAGAAAAAAAAAAGGAAAAAAAGAAAAAAAAAAATCCCCCCCCCCCAAATTTTTTTGAACCCCCTTATGAATCATCACCCCCAAACTCAATCTCAGCCTTCCCTTTGTGGTATGGTACCTTGCAGTACAATTTCAGAGAGATCCATACACTTGAACACAAGTTATTGTCTGGAAACTAGAAAAATGCTTATTTTTGGCCCCTTTTTGGCCCCCAATTCCTAAACGTTTCGGGCAATTACCCCCAAACTCAATTCCAGCTTTCCCTTTGTGATATGGAACCTTGTAGTACAATTTCAGAAATATCCAAACACTTACACACAAGTTATTGTCATGAAACTAGAAAAATGCTTGTTTTTTGCCCCTTTTTTGGCCCCTAATTCCTAACATTTTGAGGCAATTACCCCCAAAATCAATTACAGCCTTCCCTTTGTGATATGGAACCTTGTGGTACAATGTCAGAGAGATCCATACACTTACACACAAGTTATTGTCTGGAAGTTACAAAAATGCTTATTGTTGGCCCCTTTTTGGCCCCTAATTCCTTAACTGTTGGTACCATAACCCCCAAAATCAATCCCAACCTTCCTTTCATGGTATTGAACCTTATGGTAAAATTTCATGGAGATCCATTCACTTAAACTAAAGTTAGAGTGCGAAAACCAATGTGTCTTCGGACGACGCCAGACGACGCTGGACGACGACGACATCGACGATGACGACGACGCCAACGTCATACCAATATACGATCAAAAAATTTTCAATTTTTGCGGTCGTATAAAAAGCACAGGTGGGATTTGTTTAATTTTCATTTATTGTCTAAAAGAAATGCACTACGAAATAACTGTCATGATGCAGAGGGCGAATAACAGACTTGGTTGTTATTCATAAACTTACTGCCAAATATGATGCAGAGGGAGAATAACATATTTGGTTGTTATTCATAAACTTACTGCCATATATGAATGTGAAAGGAGCTTTACAGTATTATTTAAAGAACCGTTGTGAGCATGCTCACATACCCCATACCCTCACATTGTCACTGGGCAAACAAAATCTCACCAGATTCCCAAGTTCAAAGACTCATAACTCTTACAAAAGTCAACTGATAACAGTTTAATGGGATATGCTCAACTACATATTATGTCCTTATCTACAAAGTTTCATAAAATCTTGTTGTGCAGTTTCAGAGGAGTTGTGATAACAAACTGTTGCAGTAGTATATATATAGGCCACAAATCTACATTCAAAGTGGCTTAACTCATAGAACAAATATTGAGCAGTTGCACTGACAAGAACAGGACTGACGGATGGACTGGCAGACAGACGGGTCAAAAACATTATACCCTTCAGAACTTTGTTCCTTTGGTTATAATTACTTACTGTCAAATATGATGCAGAGGGAGAATAAGAGATTTGGTTGTCATTCGTAAACTTACTGCCAAATATGATGCAGAGGGAGAATGAGAGATTTGGTTGTTATTCGTAAACTTACTGCCAAATATGATGCAGAGGGAGAATAAGAGATTTGGTTGTCATTCGTAAACTTACTGCCAAATATGATGCAGAGGGAGAATGAGAGATTTGGTTGTTATTTGTAAACTTACTGCCAAATATGATGCAGAGGGAGAATAAGAGATTTGGTTGCCATTCGTAAACTTACTGCCAAATATGATGCAGAGGGAGAATAAGAGATTTGGTTGCCATTCATAAACTTACTGCCAAATATGATGCAGGGGGAGAATAACAGATTTGGTTGTTATTCATAAACTTACTGTCAAATATGATGCAGAGGGAGAATGAGAGATTTGGTTGTCATTCGTAAACTTACTGCCAAATATGATGCAGAGGGAGAATGAGAGATTTGGTTGTTATTCGTAAACTTACTGCCAAATATGATGCAGAGGGAGAATAAGAGATTTGGTTGTCATTCGTAAACTTACTGCCAAATATGATGCAGAGGGAGAATGAGAGATTTGGTTGTTATTCGTAAACTTACTGCCAAATATGATGCAGAGGGAGAATAAGAGATTTGGTTGCCATTCGTAAACTTACTGCCAAATATGATGCAGAGGGAGAATAAGAGATTTGGTTGCCATTCGTAAACTTACTGCAAAATATGATGCAGAGGGAGAATAACAGATTTGGTTGTTATTCATAAACTTACTGTCAAATATGATGCAGAGGGAGAATAAGAGATTTGGTTGTTATTCGTAAACTTACTGCCAAGTATGATGCATAGGGAGAATAAGAGATTTGATTGTTATTCGTAAACTTACTGCCAAATATGATGCAGAGGGAGAATAACAGATTTAGTTGTTATTCGTAAACTTACTGCAATATATAATGCAGAGGGAGAATAACAGATTTGGTTGTTATTCATAGACTTACTGCCAAATATGAATGCCAAAGGAGCTTAACAATGTTAATTACTGACAATATGATGCAGGAGGAGCATAAAGTACTTGGTTGTTATTAATACACAATGAAGAATGGAGCATACAGTGTTCTTATTTGTTTAATACTGCTTTTTAAATAATAAACCTGATTTGAGTACTTAGATTTTTCCAAGATCCTGTTATTTGATATTTATCTGGAATACTTATATTTTATCACTCTATTACTGTTCATTGACATTTTACCACACCTGGCGGTTTTAACAGTATATCCAAGATACGATCTGAGATACAGTTGACATTTTTGTCTGAAAAAAGTAATCTGACATTTTTACCTGAGATACTGTTATCTGACATTTTCTAGCCAATTCTTCTTTGGCCTCCTCACTAGGGTAAGGATTACTCAAATGAGAATAAAAATATTCATTTAGCACTTCTGTTGCTTGTTTGCTAAAATTTCTTCTCTTTCGTCTGAAAAATGAAAACAAAGTATAAATCTAATGTTACCTGAGATACTGTTATCTGACATTTGCGAGCCAATTCTTCTTTGGCCTCCTCACTCGGGTAAGGATTACTCAAATGAGAATTAAAATAGTCATTTAGCACTTGTGTTGCTAGTTTAGTAAAATTTCTTCTCTTTCTTCTGAAAAATGAAAAAAAAAGACGCAACTAAGTATTTTGATACCAATTGCAAACATCATCATCTGACATTTCTTTACGATCAAAAGGCAAGATATAAGGTTTACATCAACTGCAGCCCAAACTCTCAAGTTTACAACAAAGTTCCAAACAGAAAGCATCTGTTTAAAACTATTTTTAATTCAAAGTCCCCATGAACTTTGACCTATTGGTCCCTAAATCAATAGAATTCTTTCCGTTATCTTTATCTTCCATTGGTATTAGTTTTGTTTTAATTAAGCAAGGGAAACACATTTCATCTGGAAAGCATTCAGTGATATTGTTGTCTTTTTTCAAAACTACCTCTACCCTTTCTTTTGGGGAAATTGGGAAGTTTTGAATAAGAATTTTTCACGTAATATTTTGAATTGTGAGACATTTTAAACTGGAAATGAACTTTTTGGGGAGGGGAAAGAAACGGAAAAAATGACAGTACTTAATACATTGAAAAACATGCGTGTTACAAACACCGCGATGATTCTAATTAGAAACCCGGATCTCAAAAGCGCTTTCATAATATCAAAATAATAACATGAATACGAAATTTACGTACATTACTACCGATGCCATCACCGTTTGGGAAAAATGTACAACTTATTGAGAGGAATTTAATGCCATTTTTTTTAGTAATTGGGAATTTTCTCTAGGGGAAAAAGCCGAATTTCGGAGGTAATTTGAGGCAAACAATATCACTGGCATTTGTTACAGAAATTTTATTTGTAGAACAGCTATGTACATTTAACTTTGACCTATAGACCCCAGAATCAATTGGCTTCTTCTCCTTTCCTATATTGTCCATTGGTATAAGTAATTTTATTCCGACAAGGGAAACTCAAAATTTAATCAGAGAATTTTTTTATAGTTAAAGTAAAAGTTACCCTGGCTGAACTTTGACCTATTGTTTTCAAATTCAATAGCCTTTTTCCAATTCCCTTTATTTACCATTGTTCAGAAAATTATGATTTTTACCCAAGGATGAAAGGACAGTCAAGATGGACGGAGAAGGGGAAGAATATAGCATAGCTAGGAATTGTTAAGTAAACAATTTCCTTTGTTTTTATAAATTGATAAAACAATAAATTTAATCCCTGACAAAATAGCAACTTTCCCTAGACTGTGCTGATATATGTTTTTAAGTCCATTATCTAAGATTTGTTTGAAAACACTCACCAAACATACAGTAACTTTTATACTGACATTATTGTAATCATTGTAATTTCTTTTTCTTTGACACATCAATTGTATACACAATGTATATGTTTATTTCATATTTGTAAATTATGATTAAGCTGTATGATGCCAGGGCAACATTAAACATGACTAATTGGCTTCGCTGTCCACAGAGTGCTCAAAATGATAAATCAGTCTTCATGCTTGGCCACAGGCCTACCAGACCACTCCAGGCTGGTAAAATTTCTATCAGGCCTGCAAGAATTGCTACAGGCAAATAAAATTATACAAAATTTTCCAAAAAATGAGCATCAGGCTTTGGTTGCTAGTTTATAACAAAGACTGATGTTTGTTTGAATGAACAGGCCAGCAAGTATTCTTCCAACTTTCCTCACTCACTACATTGTATGACATAATGAGTGTATAATTTGTAAATTATTACTTTAATGCATCCTTACCTGGCATCTAAAAATCTGGACCTTAAAATCATAACAGCTTCACATGTACTCTGTTTCAGCTGCATTTCTATAGCAGCAAATTTCTTACGAATTATTCCAACCATTCTCTCTATTTCTTTTGGAGCTATTGGTCTTGTTCGACTTTGTTCCCTTAACAGGTTGACAACATGCGTAGTAAATTCATTACAGGCCTGAAAATAAACTGCATATTGAAAATCATGCAAACAAATTTAGGCTACTTTCAGATAGTTGAAGAATCTTGCACATTTTTGAGTATTCAAATGATTTTTTTTGCATTTTAAACTAGTGTTGCAGTACCCACGTCATAAATAATGACTTTTTTGTCCATCTTTTACATCTACTTTCACCTTTCTCTCACTCAACATCACTATAAAGTGATACCAGAGAATATTAACTTATTTTTAATTAACTTTTATGCAGCCAACAACGTATATTTGACATCAATCAGAACTACGTTGTTGTGCAATAATTCCTTTTTGAAGAGGAATGAGAATACTAAGATGCATGCAAAATAATCTATAGCCAAAAATAGTAAATACATAACTGATAAAGATCTTCAACCAATCTGAAAGTGCTTCTTATCTGCAAATTTATGGAACAAAAAGCAAGAAAGCCAAGCATAATACAAAAGGACTTAATTTTTAAAACGAAAATTCAAAAAAGCTGGAGTTAACTATCTTCTACATGGAATTAAAATGTATACATACATAAACCCTTTTGTTATACCTACCTGCTATAGTTTATGTGAAAGTGAAAAAAAACCAGGTAATTTCAGTACCTACCATGGATAATTCATAAGAAATGTGGAATGGTGGAGTGTTATTTCATCAATTAACACACATAAAAAGTGTTAAACCAAACACATTTAATTATCTTCAACTAGGAAAAATTTAATCTGTTGATTGTTTACTAACATTAATACATGTAAGGGTTTCTAAATAAAATAAAGCAATCAAAAGTGTATGCTTCCAGCTTTTTATACTGAAGAATCAATATGATTTTGATGTTGTTGGATTTTTTTCCAATTTAACAGCTGACATCAAAATAAGCATCTTCAGGCAAATTTCCAAGAAAATTAAAACAATAAGTCAAACATAAAATGTTTAATTTTTGCTTAGTATAGTCTGATTCAGTCAATAAGAAAGTCAAATCCAGTTATGCAGATGATTTAAAACATAAACGTAGATAGGTCATATTCTACACCAATAGCAGTACAACTGTTAGCATGTTTCAGTGTGGAAGACTAAATGAAATTAATCCAAAAACCTGAATGAGAAACAGTTCACTAAATCCCTTTAAACTTACCCATTATTCAAACCTTATCAACACTGGAAGCATACATCTACATTTGCAAAAAATGGAATTTCTAAAACTATTTATTCCTTTAGTATGCCTTCTACATAAAATGTCCACTAAAATATATACCATATCTTACTGAAGTTTTTAGATTCTTTGTACCCAATTGTCTTAAGTTTCAATATCAAATGAATAAACTCTTCTCTGAACTTATAGATATGTGAATTAAACCTGAGGCTCATAAACCTAATAAATTCAAGTTTGTGAGTTGACTGTCCAATTTATATATTCAGAAATTCAGAAAAAAAATGGAAATCCTTATAATTCCAATCGTAATTTTTTTTATCATAATTGTTTTCATTTTTCAAGTGGCATAAGGGGACATACATTTTATTAATAACTTGAAAATGATATTTGAGTATTAATTAAGGCTACTGTAACTTTAAATGGAATAAAATACAAAAGGATAACACCTGACGTATAATTAAAATCAAAACAATATTTAAATGCAATAAAACCAAAAAATAACATTAACATGCATGATGGATTCGAAGATTGTGATAGCTATACTACTGCTCAAATGAAAAGTGAGAAAACATTAAATTGACTTATTAAAAGTTTCTATGATTGTTGAGTGTTTATAAATGGCTATAGATGAAGATACACGTATGGGATCATACAACGTACATGTCCCTCCTCCCTCTTTCTTGAGAAAAAAACAAAATCATGAATCAAAATCAGGAACAATGTGAATAAGATTGGAATTATAATGATGAAAATGTGTAGTTCTGAAGCAGTATATTAATACCAATCAAAGTAAAATATGGTAAAACAACAACTAACACATTACAACAAATGGTACTATTGTATCATTAGTTGTCAATGCTGGTGGAACAAAATTTACATACTGTTATAATTCCCACTTTTTCTGTGTACTTTTTTATAGTTTACTCAAATGTTTCTTTTATTTATACACTTGTATATTAAATCTATTTTTTTTTTATTAACACCAAATTCAAACATTATCTTGCTTTTTCGCTTGCTATTTATCAACTCAAATAACTAAGGATAGAAACTTCAATGACTGATAGTTCTAAAAAATTTAAAATGAGAATTACAATGGGTATTTTGTATGAAAATGTAACATACATTTGTGTTTATAAAATTCAGAAATAAATAAAAGATCTGGAAGCTGAAGTGCAAAGAATTTCATTTTGCTTTTAAATGTATAAAATTAACTATATTTTGGTTTGATATTATGAGCACACCAGAAAAAGTGAGAAAATGTAAACAATCTAAAACTACAAATGTTATTGTTAATAATATTTGAACACCATCTCCCTGTCTGGTTAAAGAGAAACCACAGCCATTCTAGAGCTAAAAACGCTGGCCATGTGATGAAGAAAACAATCATTTTGTTTTTGTACCTGTTCATATTTTCCATATTCTGTTTGGTAGACCTGCCGAATCTGTGCTAGTTTCGCTTCATAGTCTGAATTTTTGATTTCCGATCCATCCTGTCCAAGAACAACAAAGACTAGAGTCATGGCAACCAATAGCAACACCTTTTCATATTATTTAGCAATAAACAAATGGCTGTTTTATTTCAGATCTATTATGAAATTTAATAAAAGTGAAATAATTTGTACAAAGATTTTTTAAAGTCAATCACGATAGAATTTGCAATTTCCATATTTAAAAATAGCATCTGTTTTTGCACATGTATGTTTTTAGTTGCATATTTGTAAATTTTTGAGTTACTACAAACCAGACAGGATTTTGAGGAAACAATATACTGAAATTCTACATAATCAATGATATGGCATCACAATTGTATTTTTTTAAAAATTGCAATTAAAAAGCAAATAAATTTACTAATTTATAATAATCTGTGCATGCGAAACAAGTTCTTTTTTTCAATTCACTGTGTCGACTTGCAAGGCATGCAGGTTTTAGTTTTCACATTCACATAAGTGAAACCATCAAGCAGTTTATGATTTCCAATTAACAAAATTACAAAAATCCTTGGGAAAAAGCAGCAAAAACTGGGAAACAAATATGCTAACAAAACAAAATCAACACAATTCACGTCTAATTCAAAAATGGAAATTAGTGATGTAACTGGCCAACCTGTAAAGAAGAAGTTATTAAATAATACTGCAACAATTTTTAAGAAAGTATCCAGAAAACTATAAACTGTAATGAAAAAAGCAGTCTATAATCTTCATAAATGTCAGATCTGAGATGTTTTTATTATGAGAAGTTCAACAGGGTGAAATTTTTTATGTATTTGCATAAATCTTGGGGATTTGTTGAAAAAAAAATCTTTATAAAATCATTATTACTTGGTAATTTAATATAATTCTCCCAACAGCATGAAATTAAGCAATCATTCAAGCAACTTTTGAAAAACATGCCTTATTTACAAGACATCACCAAACCATATGCATTTCAAATTTTCCTTCCAGAGCTCATGTATCTTCATACTCATGTTATTAATCCCATCAAATACACGTTATAAAAGCAAAATTTTCAAACAAAATTCTCTTATGTATAGATATAATAAGACAAATTTATGATGAATTTTATCAACAGACAAAGCATGCATTTACTAAGCAGAATAAATTGCTCCGGGCCACATGACCCAAACCAGTCGACAAAACATCATTATTCATTCCAAATTTTATACTGTTATAGCCTCCAGCCTTTGACAATTACTCTAACAAAGCGTCACCTTTGTGGTATTAACCTATGATTTAACCATACATGATAACTAGTGATTCATCTTAATGTCTTTAGCCGATTTTCTTTCTCACCACTTATAAAACTTTTACTTCGTAATTCATCATAATAAAGGCAAATTCTCATTAAATTTCCTTTGACTGTCCTAATTCAAAAATACATTAAAGAAATTGACACATTTTTCGTAAATTGTAAATGATCTCGAGACTCAATAAATGTACAAATATTTTAACTAGAAATACTGGTAATAATTTTATTTAAAATTCCACTTTTTCATTATTTAGTTCAGTTTCTAAAATGTGTGTTTATTAGTTCATACGTCTGCACATGTGAAAGCAACTGGACTTGTAAGTCAAATATCGATGCTATTTCTGCAAAGGTACATTTTAAATAAAATGCTACTTCAAAATAAGAATAACACTCTCTTGAACCAGGAATTAAAAAAAAAATATTCCCAAACCCAAACTACCTTTTCCAGATAAAAAAGTTGATTAAAAATCATGTAACTGACACTTTAGATGTATCTTTCAGTATTCTTAGCGTTAATATACATATTGAATCAGCAGAAATACACAAAGACAAAAACATGTAACAGCTGAGAGAACTGTAGAAGACTGGAGGCTAGTAACAGCTGTAAATGATTATCACTCACTTGTTCATATTTGTCTAGTTCTGTATGATAAATTTGACGGATCTGTGCCAGTTTGGCCCTGTAGTCTGAGTGTTCTATAGCACTATCTGGCTGGCCACCTGAGGCAGCTGCTGTGGCATTGGCTGCTGCTGAGGAGCCCCCTCCTTTCTCTGGACCGGCCACTCCTTCAGCTATTAACATATTATCTAATCGCATCAACTGAGGATCTGGTGGTTCTTCTTCTTGTGAATTTCTAATACTGAGAACTGAAAAATATCAAATACATGTGTGTTTTTTCTCATGCTTTTTTTCAATACATGCAGTGCTGCAGATTGTATAAACTATATATAGCTATAAACTATGTACATTCAATCTGCACAAAATTAGTACATGTGTAGTATTCTTAAGACTAAAAAGACAACTTTTATCTTTTATTTCACAATACTGGTCTTGGTTCATAAAAAAATGTATGCTTTGATATAAATCGCTTTTATCGTTTGACCACATTGTTATTTTTAACTCCTGGAGGGAAAACTTCAGTCCATTATTTCAGCAAACAGTGATATACAGCGTACAATGTATGAACCCCCAACTTTTTCTCTAACAAGGAAGTTTGAGTATGTACAAATGTATGAAATATTGCCACTCAGCTGGGACATTTTGGAAACAACAAAAAAATCAACTATAATATTGATGCATATGTACATGTATGCAACAACAATTCCATGAAATAAACTTTAGACCTTGAATATATTCTGTTAATTTACACTTTTTACTGAAAGCTTGAAACTTCAACATTCAACATTTAAAAATGATGTAATTTTGTGTTATTCCTGGCACATACACTAAGAAAGGTTTACATTTTGATTTCAACTTGTATCCTTCAAAACAACTTTTTGCTTATTCATGTCCATAACTACATGCAGTCATCAATATTTAAAATTTAAGTGGAGACACAACCTTGCAAAAATTTGTAAATCAATTGAATGTAGGTGAATATGACACTTCAAACTATTTTATCTCCTGACCTTCCCCTCATTGGGTTCAATTTTATTTGAAGCTGTCTGCATGTAGGAGCAATAAAAAATTGATTAAATAATTTGATTACGTTTTGACATTTATATGATTCTGTTGAATATACTACATCAAATACATGTACGGTCACTGGATTCATTGCTTAAATAGAAGAACACTATTCGTTTCAAAATACAAGGTTGTCAAGAAACTAACATATTAGTTTTTCCTAAAATGAGGTCTCGATTTAGCTGTCCTAAAAGAATGGATAGACACAAAGGAAGAGCTAGGATTGCCACTATGATGAACTTGCCAATTTGTTTACACATCTTGGGATGCAATAAAGAACAGGTGATTTAAAAAAAATTAAAAGAATAAATTCTGAACTTACAAAAATAACTGTGATTTCTAGAAATAAAAGTTAATTAGCTTAAGCAAAATAAATTTTCAATTAAAATCTTTTTCATCTCATCTCAAAAAATTATTTCAAATACATTTTTTTGGGGGGTAAAAATTACTATGTTCATACATTTTATTAGTTTTTTCTTGGTCATGCACATTTTTTGTAGTGAAAATCACAAAAGAATTATTCAAATCCCATTCTTTCAACTAATAAAAATACACAAGTTACACTAAAATTAGAATTCCAATAACGAATATAGAGGCCTGATCAATGCATTAAATGTGTTGGGTCTTATTACATTTAGAAGAAATCAATAAAACTAAATTAACAGAGTATTGACACAGCTTCATGAGACCCCAACAGACCTCCCTAGCTAACAACACTTTGACAAGACATATTGATTCAATTCAAATCTTAAATCAGATTTGAGAAAATCATTACAATGGAAGGAGATTATCGTGATTGGTGACAGGAAGTGTTAGAGAACAACCCATGCTGTTAATCCAATAATAATGGCATTAATCATTATCTGCGGCATAAAGTGGATCTTCTTACCTCTCCTTAAGGTGTTAGTTAACCATTCCAAATGTGAAGATACTTGTCGTATCATGCTAAATTTGCTAATTTTAATTTTACTTTGAGCAAATTATATAATGGACTTTCTCACATTTTGTGCACAAATTCATACAATTTCAAACCAATCTAATTGTAAAACTAGTCTAAAATACAAACAAACTGTTATCCAAATTATGTTTTTACTTGGTAAGAAAGTTGTTATCAGTAAATGTTTATAGACAGATTAAATTACAACTTTCAACAAGATACACTTTTCTTTATAATATCATTTAATTGAACTAATTTACAGTTGAATGTTGTAAAAGAGAGTACCCATATCACTGACAGAACCACGTTTTTTTTATATGTTTGTATTTAAATGTCTTAATCATGTTAATTGAAAATAGGTTACAATGATTGAATTCAACTTTTCTTCTAAATTAGAGAGATAATTAAATTCAATGGTTTATAAGACACTCTTGAAAAAAAATTAAGAACATAAACAAAATTTTTGGAGTTTCAGATAAGATTCATAAGACAAGGCATTGTGGTCATTAAAAATTTGAGCATGATTATCATAGACTCAGAAATTAACCAATCAAATTACTGGATTTAGTATTTTGAGAACAAATTTTTTACTCTCAAATACTGGATAAAGTTCTATGACCAAAAGGATACATCGGAGTGATTTGCAAAGATTCCCGTCATGTTAAACTAGAGGTTTTACATTTATACATAAACAAGGTCATTTAATGTACAATTTTGTAATATTATAAATTCAATGTACAACAAAAATGTATATCAATATTAAAATGAAATTACAGACTATTTCTAAATCAAAATTATGTTCAAACTCCAATCCCACTGTCAATCAAGCAGAGGAGAATATCTTTATTTTTTAAGAATATTAATAAAAAAATACTTCCTTCAGATTTTTTGAAAACAAAAATCAATACACAAAATATTTTCCCTGTTATACTTGGAACTCCAAAATAATTGCCATATATATATAAGTAACAAGAGATTTGTGTCCTTAAAACAAATAGGTATAATATGATACATTAATATATACTGTACAACCAAATTTATTCATCATCGATACCAAGATTGAAATTGTATACGCTAGACACACGTTTCATCTCAAAAGACTCATCAGTGACGCTCTTTTTAAAAAAGTAAAAAAAGGCCAAATAAAGTACAAAGTTGATTGATTGATTGGTGTTTAACGCCATTTTCAACATTATTGTGCTATTTCGTGACGGTCAGTTTTTATTGTTGGGAGTCAACACACAATGGACATAAGCCCATGCAAATTCATAATGCTAATAACATCTCCAAGCATACATGTACTTTAATAAACGAACAAGAGTTCCAATGTCCAAAGGACAAGGGCAATAACTAAAAAACGCACTTTTTTTCTGTTCTTTAAGACTTTTTATTAATATCTTAAGAGAAATGAAGGCTTCAGAGCAAATGCAATGTGATTTCCATTATAATTTATATTTCCTAGGGGCATAACTCGTTAAAAATATTTGAATATTTTCGAAAGTGTGAAAGACATTGCTGATATAAACCTATGAGTTTCACAAACTTCTGGCAAGAATTGAACACATGAGAGCGATTACATTGCAATTTTCAATATAAACAATATTTTCAAGGGGCATAACTCTTTTAAAAATAACTGATCGGCTCTGATTTTTGAACTCTTCAAGAACATTGATATAAACCTATAATATAAATTTCATAAAAATCGGGCAAGAATTGTACATATTAGGGCACTCATAAGGCAATTTTCCATAAAATTAATATTTCCAAGGGGCATAACTCTTTTAAAAATTATTGATCGGCACTGATTTTCAATTTCGTCCAAGACATTGCTAATATAAACCTATTATTTAGGTTTCATAAAATTCTGGCAAGAATTGTACCTATGAGAGCAATAACAATGCAATTCTCCGTATAATTTATATTTGCAAGGGGCATAACTCTTCTAAAAATAATTGATTGGCACTGATTTCCAAACTCTTCAAAGTCATTACTGATATAAACCTATGATATAATAACGTGGCAAGAATTGAACACATGAGAGTGCTAACTATGCAATTTTTCATAAAATTAATGTTTCCAAGGGGCATAACTCTATCAAAAATAATTGATCAGCACTGATTTTCGAACTTGTCCAAGACATTGCTAATATAAACATATAAAGGAAGTTTCATAAAAATCTGGCAAGAATTGTACTAATGAAAGTGCTAACGATGTAAATTTCAATATAATTAATGTTTCCAAAAGGCATAACTCTTTAAAATAATTGAACGGTACTAATTTTCAAACTCGTCCAAGACATTGCTGATATCAACCTATGATATAAGTTTCATAAAAATCTGGCCAGAATTGTACATGTGAGAGTGCTTAACAAGTCCTGACAGGCGTCCGATATTTCCATGTCTCACCACAACACGTTACGCAGGGGACAATAAAACATGCATTGAAATGGCTTAATGCATCTTAATACACATAATCTCTATGTGTACTGTGGCTCTCTCACAATTTTTTTCTTAGCAGGTTTCACTATGAGCATAATGATTGTACATATAAGTCTTAAGTTTATATATGATAATGAGTGTATTTTTTCATTGCATACTCACAAACCAATTTAGAATTTCCAATGTAATCTTTTTTATATTTAATCATGTACATTTGTAGATGTACATGTAGGGAAAATAAGAAAATGTGGTATGAAATGAAGACATCGATAGATTTTGAGGTCTTTTGGTCAAAGGTTAACTCAGCAGTGCTCTCCCATGGCTTCTTGGCACAATGTAGCTATATTATTTTATCATGCTGTTACTGATTCTGAATAGATTTAATCACATAATATTAAAAAAATATGTTGCTATGTTTTAGGAAAAGGGTTATTTCAAATATCATGGTACAAATGTACATGTATTACATGTAATTAAAAATAACATTGGTTCAAGGTTATAGCAGCTAGCTATGGACAGAATTTTGGGCAAAATCACCAACATGTTAACAAATGACAAAACAGAAAAAAGTAACCTGAAGCAAAAAACTCTTTTACAAATTCCTGTTTAGCCTATTTTTTCAGTCTTCAGATACAATTTTATGACCCACTTACACAGCCTTAGTGCAGAAATCAGAAGCTTCCATTACAACTGCATATAAGGTCAACTGTAACCACAGCATCATATACTTTTTAGGGTTTGGCTTTTCTTGTAACAGGAACAGCTCCCCCCTTTCCTTTATTTTGTAAATTCTTCACGAAATAAAATTTTGAACACTTGTACCCTTTGGAAAATGCATTTAAAAAATGCCATCTTGTTACCAGTAGTAACAATGAGACATTGAAAATTCATTTAAGTGAAAACAGTTATCTCCCCTGAAACAGTATCGAACTTTGCTAAATTCTAAATCTTTTAAAAATATATCTTGATTAAACTCACATTTCAATATACATGTAACAATTGAAAGCACAGCATATTTGCAATTTCAGTTTCATACATTGTTTAATTTGAATCAAGTAACAATCACAAGTAGGGCAACAATTTTCAACAGATTCAAGTTGTTTAATTTTTCTTATATTTTGTCTTCCACAAATGTTGAATACAAATGTATTATAAGTGATCTTGAAATTTTGAACATTCAAAAAGTCAAAAATTGTTTTTCTTACACAGTTCATTCATTTTTGGCTGGGATGGACGAAGGCTAACTCATGATTTACAGTATGTGATGTTTGGCATGCAGACAGCGGGGGAAAAGTGGGTACCTAATTTGTGTAATCAACTCGTCGTTTTTTTGGGAGATTTTTTTTCATTTGTTAGAATTTATTCATTTTTTAGCTAAATTAAGTCACAAATATTGCAGTTACAAATGTAGCTATTTGAGACTTTGACCTATTTTTTATGTAAAATTGGTCAATGTATATGAATTTACAACTGCAGAATTGTTCCTCAATATCAGTTATTAATTCTCAAATAAACGTTATTTAACATGTGTGTAGAAAGGTATCGGGTCCGTTCGCGCCCAATACACGTTCGCACCCCGCACGTTCGCCCCCTGGGTCCGTTCGCACCCTTTTTTTTATTCAAAAACCCGATGAATTATAAGATGTTTTTTAAGATGTTAATCTCAAAATAAAGAAAAAATCGGCAAATTTTGAATTTTTTAAATGAAATATTGTTTTAAATTGATTTGATGATTAATTATTTATGATTACTGTTAATTATATATGGTGTTTACACAGCTAAACTTGATGTAAATTCTGCATGTAGTTATATTAGCATGTATTTAACTTGGTATGAGTAAAAACAATTAAGATTCAAAATGTTATTGTTGTTGAGTTTACAGCGGTTTGGTATCTAAACATTTAAATAATATTCAACACAAAAAACCTTTTTTAGAAAGTCACTTTATTTTGAAACAATGAAAAAAAAAATACAGCAATACACTAACCAAAACACGATTAAAAAGATATTCAACACAAAAAACGTCACTTTATTTTGCATGTTTTGAAACAATGAAAAAAAACTTATTTATAGCAATACAATAACCAAAACACGATTAAAAAATTATTCAACACAAAAATCGTTTTTAGAAAGTCACTTCATTTTAAAACAATGAACAAAAAAAATATTTATAGCAATACACTAACCAAAATACGATTGAAAAATTATTTAAGACAAAATCAATAAAAAGGGTGCGAACGTGTAGGGTGCGAACGGACCCGGGGTGCGAACGTGAAAGGGGGCGAACGTGAATGGGCACGAACGGACCTGGATTCGTGTAGAAATAACTAAAAAGTAACATTTCTTTAAACTTGAAATGGCACATATTCAGTTTAACACTTGCAAGTTTTAAGCTGATAAATAATTATTTAAATTGTTATTGGTCACAGTAGCTAACTTTTTGAAACTGAAGATAAAAATATGCCATTTCCGTAAATGCATCTTCATGCATGCTATTTTGAGTGAGGACTAAATATAATATTGTTTTTAAACTTGGCAAATGACCACCATTTATTATAAAGGGATACTAATTCAATTGGGGAACTATTCTCAACCTGTTGGGCTATGCTAAATCTTTTTTAATCTAATTTGCAACACATCATATACATTGTCATTTACCTTACTTTATTACAAACTGTAACTTTATCACTTACTGTGTATCTATTATATCACTGTGTATCTATTATACACATAGTTGTTAATTTAGTCACAAATCTTAATGATTTATTTGAGGAAGTATTTTTTTGTTATATTATGATATTACATATGTACAAAAAATGTTTACCAAACTTTCTTTTTTAATAAAATTCAAAAAGAAATAAAAAATGTTTTGTTTGGAAAAAAATTATACAGGTTTCCATACAAGAGGCTTAAAGAAGGGTAAATATTTACACACCTGTTTTTTCTTTGATTTCACATAATACACTAAATAATGCCGGTTTCATTCTGTGACAGTTCAATGTGTGTTTCCTGCAATAAAGAAAACAAGAGCATTACTAAGAACTATAAAGATTATTTCATAACTTCGCGCTGAAAATACATCATACAGATAGGAGAGTAAGAGAAAATCTGAGAGACGACAGGCATAGAAATAAAGGAAGGCATGTACCGGCACCTTGCTTGTGCTTCGTCAAGGCTTTGGTCTGTTATTGTCATTATCTGTTGAAGAATATCGCCAATTTCTTGTTTCCTCTGGTCTGAGGGATCGTCTCCCTGTTGAGGAATCCCATACTGATTAAGCACATTAGTGTTCGCCATTTGTCCCTGGTTATGCATCATTCTTTGCTGGTCGTCCATTATTTCACAGTATGTTTTATCCGACCTTAATAATCCATTTATGTCTATGTTAAGTCATTAAACACTTAGCACTAATTCCTACAATGCCTTTGTTTGGATAATAAACAAATCCTAAACGTAAACAATGTCCACACTTATGCCAATCTGGGAGGGCTTTTTGTCACTGCCAGTCAAAATGCCTCTAAACAGAAATGGCGGCTCGTCATGCATGCAAAGAACATCATTCTCTCCGTTAATGCACAAACATCCAATGAAAACGAAGATTCGATATCTTCGTATTTTTCCGTAAGGAATGTTTTAACCAGATATAAATAACAGCCAATGAAACGAGGAAAATTTAGTCCCGATACCACACGCCCTTGACGAAGATTGACAGCTCGGAGATGATTATGAGATGACTATCTATTAGGGGCCCCAGGAAGGATAAACACAATAAAAACAGAAAAAATGCATAGCTTGGTATTTTCGCCTTCCGCAATGCATTTTATTAGAAAAAGTAAATAGAAAATCCAAACTTATGAGCTGTCAAATATTTTTTTTAAATCAGAAAAATATCAGATTTTTTGCGATAAAGCCATGTTATAAGAAGAACCTTATAAGAAGAATTATGTATTTAGATACCGGTATAAAAAAAAACGAAAATCATCAAGTTTGTAAATAAGGACAATAAATCGAAGGTAGATATATATCATGAAGCAAAGATTCAAGTGTTATAGAATGCAACATATAGACAGTTTTATAGTAATGTAGTAAACTTGCATGAATAACAATACTTCATTCGAGTACTAATATCTTTCTGGATGACCAACCATGATATACCCTTTGTCTATTAGTCCCAAATGCTTCCAAGACATTTCTTGTGAAGATTTTATACAATAACCATTTGGTATAGACTTTATCTTCCCCTCAAGAAACATGAAATAGTTGTGAATGGACATTACTCAAACTAAAATTTATCATAATAGTTGAATCAATTTGTAATTTTTCATATTTGTCAAGTTATTTGTTTGTTTTTTATTGTATTCGGACAAATAGAATAAACATGAGTACAGCCCACAAGTGTTGACCTTTTATAAAGTTATTCAGTTTATTCAGTTTTTGGCCAAGTCTTTTTCTCCCTCCCAATCTTGTTACTGATTTATTTATTTTTCATGGCAATTTTTCTTTGCAACTTTTCACAGTGGCTTTTAGTATACCAACAGAAGATAAATGACCGAAATGGATTCACAAGTAAATTTAGCTTCTTACTATTTATTTGGGAAAAAAAACGCCAGAAAACAACGTTTAAGAATACACAAAAAAAAACCATCAAGTTGACACATTATTGCATAAAATCAATCGTCAATAAATCATTCATGTCAATCTTATTGACAGCAAAGTTAAACATGGATAAAAGCGAATCTGATGGACACAAAACTCCTATGGGCACTCATATACATGTACTTACAGAGGTGCCATTGGCTTCGGAACGGCCATTATAACCGAACAAAACATCACTACAACGATAACATCTCGAATGTTAGTAGGTTAAATGTTAAGCCTTTTGTATCAAAAGCTGCTAAATATGTTAAATTGGTAAACAATTCTCTAGCTATTGTTATAGCTCCTATCTTCGGGTTATTGGTTTAATCGTCTATTTTAATAGTGTGCCAAAGGGTAGCCGCTTAATTTGTGCGAGACTGCGTGTGTAGCAAAAAAGTATGCATCATCATGTGTATCAAAATATCAAGGGGCCTTTAAAATTTTCATAATTTGATTAAAAAAATGAGGAGAAAATTAATTGGAATAAAATCGATTATATATCGATTTAATGGAAATAAAACATCTACTATATCGGAATGTAAAGGATTTGTCTTGATTTCATGTTCAAAACAATATCAGAACATCTCTTGATAAGTTATGAACGTTGGGTAAAATATGATGACATATGTGGTAAGTCAGGGTCAAAGTTATCAAAGTCAGGTCAAACGCCTTTAAGGTCACTATTTATGTTTACATGAGTTTTCATTCGGACTCGTAGCTGATATTCAATATGCATACAACCCGTCGGATAATTGATCCATGTCAATTGTATACGTACTGAAACTTGACCATATGTTGTGTTCCGTGAATTCTACTCATTAAAAAAACTCTATGGGAAATGCCGAAAGTCATACCGGAGTTCCAAAAACTTTCCACAGAGAATAGAAAAAAATCCACTCAGAATTGAAGCTGAAATAAGGTGCCGTAATGGTAAATAGTTTCCACTCCACTAATGACAGCGTCATCATGTTTTTCATGACAAAAGCATCTTTATTTAAAGTTCAATTTGGCCAATGGGGTAGATGCGAACAACATACTCACCGAAAAATGAAATGAATCAGTAAAAAGAATATTTTATATATATAGGAGAAGTTGAACGTGATCATTTTTTTTATTTGAGTCGGTTCAACCTAAAAACAACTCGTAAACTCTCATTGTCACATTCATATGATGTATACAACCGTTGCAATAAGAAATTAAAGTCGGCAAAATGAAATGTAGGCCCCCAGAAGTCTGTAATACTCACTTGAGACCTATTCACTAAAATTTACTCAAAAAGTGTCAATGTCGTGGTCAAAAATTTATTAAGAATTACTGAAAGTAAACTTTTCGAATCCGACCTTGATTTTTACCTGCTGAGAAAAATTTAAGTACAAAAATTCCTGTTGATAAAAAATAAGAAGATGTGATATGATTGTTAACTGCTCACCAGAGACCAAATGACGTAGACGTATATGCCTTATAATGTATAGTATATATAGTAGGTTATAAAAGGTCCGACATGACAAAGCGCAACCAAGAAAACCAAAATCTGTCCCGATTTGTGTACATAACAATACACGAAAAAACGATGTATAAAAAATAAATGTATGCAGATGTCTCATGAGATTCAACTTTTAAACTTCTTTGCACCGACATGCATTGATATCAGTTAAATCTTGATACTCATATCTGTAAAATATGCAGGAACTAAGACACACAAGTAATTGAATATTCTTTAACGTGTATCGCCTTATTCAAACCGACTAAGCAAGCAGCTTACTAAATTCAATACATTTCTTTCAGCAATTTTATTTTTTACCCTTTGGCATGGCATTTTTGTACTGAAAAAAATAAGCAAACAGAAGAAAAAGCACTAAGGTTAGTGCATGAATACCACGGGTATGAAGACCATTCATATTATTTGAAAAGGCTAAGATGCCTTCACTGCATATGAAAAGACAGAACTATGGCAATTGAAACCTTTTCAGATATACTAAATGTCTGTCTGTTTACGTGATCGAGATGTGATAAAATTGTATTATAGGTCTCTGATTGAAAAAGACTGTAAATATTCTCCCAGACACAATTATACCCTGGAAATTCCCCTGGTAAAATCAACACAGTCCCCTGGTAAAATCTAGTAAGACAAGTTTTAGATTTGCAGCTGCTACTCTGCAGAATAGCCTACAGTTCCATTTCAGGATTGAATACAATTTTCAATTTTGGAATGGATCAGCATGTCGTTGTACTGTAGATAGGTACGCATGTTATCCATTTTTTTAGTTAATAAAAGATGAAAATGACACTATAAAATTTTATGCGTCCGAAGCGCTTTTCTGGATGTTCATTCACCAGTAACGTCTAAGCCAAATATTTGAAAGCCAGGGATGTATAAGTATACCCTGACACGATGAGGCTAATACAAATATATATATATATATATATATATATTATATTGATCCCAGAAACATGTGAAGAGTTATATGACCAAAAAGGACCTGCAACTAATAGCCTAATTCATATAAGGTCAACTTTGCCCGAGGTAGTACGAAACTTAGTTTCTTTATAATTTATAAAAGTATAGAAGTATAATTGAAGAAAGCTATGCTATAAATCGTGTCAAGACCGATCAAAGCACTGAATACCGATCTGATGATACCCCGGGTTCACTGTAGTCCACCAGCAGCGGTATCAACCAAGTGCTATAAAAAATGAAAATCATATTTCATAAATTTTATATGTCAGAAACGCTTTTCTTGATTTTCTTAATCAGAAACTCTCACAGCCAAATAGTTGAACGCCAGGATGTCTAAGTTCCGAATTACACAAAGAGCTATATAACCAAAAAGGACATAAACATAAAAGCCAAATCCATCTAAGGTCAACTTTGCCTGAGGGATATTGAAAACCAATTTAAGAGGTTGATAAAGAAATGTCCTAAACTACAGTTGAAGACGATTCAGTTTTAGTGTTCCTGCTTACTCTATTATAATATTAGAGAACCATATCTTAATAATATGTTTGATAAGTTTCATACTTTGAAAGAACAATGTAAATTATGTATGTAGTATATGAACTCTGTGATCACCCGATTTTTTTTCATTTGATATAAAAAAGGAAAAGTTTACAAGTTAAAATTGGCTTTGACTAGCTTTCGTCAACTTCGAGTAATCTTAATAGATTGGAACCTAGTGTTTTTTCAAGTTGTCTCCAATTGATTTTTAGTTTACTCTTAGGTTGTGTGATTACACCACTATCCCTTATAAATAAATATACAGTATGGATTTTGCTCATTGTTGAAGGCAGTACAGTGACCTATAGTTGTTTACTTCCTTTATATTTGTTCTCACTGGAAATCATACTACATCTCCTAATTTTAGTATTGATTAGAATGTAAGCAGATGACCAGGTCATCATTTATCAGCAGATGGGGTTGTATCAAAGCTTCTATATGTGCAGATATCTTGCATGGCCCCTCACCAGTCCCCAATAGCAATGGGTGACTGTTTCATGGAACAAAGTTTCGAGTATACTACTATATGGGAATGTTAAACGACCATGACTTGCACATTCGGTTAAGGTAGTATGGGAGTCATTTACAATCATTTAGCAAATAACGCGTTGCAGGGGACATGGTGATACCGGGCGTCCGTCCGTCTGTCCGTCCGTCCGTCTGTCCGTCCGGTCTTGTTAGCGCTCTCACGGATACAATTCTTGCCAGATTTTTATAAAACTTATACTATAGGTTAATATCAGCAATATCTCGGACAAGTTCTATAATAGTGGACTATCGACTTTTTTAAAAGAGTTATGCCCCTTGGAAATATTAAATTTATGGAAAATGGCCTCGTTAGCGCTCTCACGGTTACAATTCTTGCCAGATTTTTATAAAACTTATACTTTAGGTTAATATCAGCAATATCTTGGACAAAATTAAAA